CAAAGAAATGCGGTCACTTTCGTGGATAAAGCACCTTATTCCTAAACACCTAAAATTCGAACTAATTCCCAACAAACATAAAACAAAACAAATGAGCGAATAGAGCAGAAGAAGTGCTCACAAAAGATAACACCACTTGATATAAAACAATAGCGTTTCAGAGGAAGAATTTCAATTTGAAAATTGCCATGGCTTATCGGTCAGGCCAATTCGAAAAGAAACACGGCAAACTTTTTCGGCAACCTAAGGGTGGAATGTTCAGAAGAGGTCATGAGTAAGTAGAGGGTACATCATTGATTGATTTCTCCCAGGGAAATAAAGTTAGAGCTAGTTGTCGGTTTGGTCAATTTTTGTCGGCTGGACCTCCCATTTCGCAGGCCTAAAATTTGAAAACCCTGGAACAGAGGTGGAAGAGGAACATAGCATCTTGTAGAGCAGACAATTCTCTTTCGAATGGTATATGACACGATGTAAAAGCATGGGATTTAGATGAAAATTTTTTGGTTGAAAAAAAGCGACACTATTTATGAGACAACCTAATAATATCTCGCTATTACAAGACAATTATCCCATTGCCATTAAAAGGTTAGCGTCGCTACAGAACCAACTGAAACACAATCAAGAACAAGGTGATTGGTATTCGAAGATCCTAGAAGAGTATCGAAACCAAGGCATCATTGAGCAGTTATCGATAAAAACGAAAGCGCTGTGGGCATATATTACATGCCACACTCAGGTGTTTGGCGTCCTCAGAAAGCAAAACCTTTGCGGATAGTCTTCGACGCTTCGTCCAAGAAAAAAAGGACAGTTTCTCTTTGGGTGAAAGATACCAATAAAGCTGTAATGCGTTCAAACATAATAGAGTACCGCTTTACCAGATTACCTTTCGGTATAACCGCGTCACCAAGCATCCTAAACATGGCACTTCTCGCATATTTGCGTTTGACAGGGACACAGCTATCCACAGAAATTAGCAGAAACTTACTGCTCCGAGCTCCGAACGGAGGAAGAGATCTACCGTAAATACGAAGAATCGAAACGTCTCTTTTCGAAAATTGGGATGAATCTTCGGGAGTACGTTTCTAACTCCGCGAATGTAAATTCGAAAATACCGGAAAAAGACCGCGCTGCCCCAGGTGAAATGAAAATACTTGGTGTCATTTATGATACAACCAGCGACCGCTTCACAGTGAAAGCAAAATTCGAAATGAAGCCAATCCTCACAAAAAGAGAAGTGGTACGGTAAAGAGTATTCCGTGTACGACCCACTCGGTGTTGTTGCACCATTAATATTAGGTACCGGATATCTTAGTGTCGTTTTTTCACCACGAGTTTCGGACCACCAATATTTTAATTCAGAATCCGGGGAGTGAAACAGCATATTCATCGAATGACTCATTAGCACTTTCCCATTTACCAGTATGAGTGGAAACCTCGTACGATTAAAGCTAGGAATTTTTTGAGTCGAAAAAGAGAGGTAGGTCGGTTTTGACATCATCTGACAAATCATCCCTCTCACTTGCTAAATCATCCCTCTCACTTGCTAAAAAGTTAGGCCTGGACAAAAGAAGTATACAGTTAGTTAGAGTAGGGTCTGCACTGTATGGTGGAAAAGTTAAACTTACCAGCTCAACTGGACAATTTTTCCCGGAGTCTTTTTTGCCACATAGGGTCAAAACGCACCCTTTTTGAGCACACGTGAGTAGCAGATGAGCACATTTATTAGAATTTCTTGTGCAATCAACTTCGTTAAAGCGTTTGTGCATCATCGATCAGTCACTGCTAAGGTGTCCTACCATTTCAGCACAAGACTGGTGCAGCCCCGTCTCGACTGATTTAACTAGGGCCACCTTTTTGACGACGATTGCGGGCATCACTTCAAAGACTTCACTGTCTTTTGAGAAAACTGTGAAAAACCGATGAGCATTTTAAATGGTAGTATTCCCTCCAACAAATGCAATGTTGGTTTGGTGGGCGGAAGTTGTAGCTCTCAGCAAGAATTTTGAAGCATTTGGTACACACATGCGAATTTGCACACTGGACCCAGGAATTTTCAAAAAAAAAGTATAAAAATTGGGGGAAAGTTAAATTGTGAACCAACAATAGAAAACAATAAGCAACATATTTCGCAGTATTAATGAGCAAAAAGGACTTTCTGAGATATTGATTTTCCATAGTAATCGGCCCCAAAACTTCCTGAACTCAGAAAAGCGACACTAAGATATCCGGTACCTAATAATTGAACTCAAATAATGAGAGAAATCTTCGCTCAACATTCAAAATGGGATGAACCGGGTCAGTCCGAAACTCCATCAAAAATGGAACATGTTATGCTCGTCAATCAATAACACAGAAATAACTATCCCGCGGCCACTAATAGCGGACAATGTACCATCTTCAGACGCTTGCCTCTGGGTTTTCGCAGACGCTAGCAAGACAGCAATTGCAACCTGTGCGTACATCACTAAAAACAACGTGGTTACACACCTCGTCAGTGGAAAAACCAAGCTTTCACCAAAGAAGGCGCCACAAACGATTCCTAGACTGGAACTCTTAGGGGTCCTGATAGCACTGCGTCTTGGAAAGTCTATCTTACAAACAGATGGCTGCTATATCAAAAAGCTCATGTTGCTTCAGATAGCGAAATCGCTCTCTGTTGGATAAAATCAAATCGCAAGTTGCCACTCTTCGTGGCAAACCAGCGTGACAAGATTCTAGCGCTAAAGGGTGATTTCGAAAATGATAACGTAGAAATACATTTCGTGCACGTACCAACTCTTCTAAACCCAGCGGATGCTGGAACCAGAGGACTTACTTCTGTGCAACTTTACGATCATCCATGGATCACAGGTCCTTCTTGGATAATGGGCGAAAACATGAAAGCCCTTAAACCGATCGAAGATATCCACATTCGTGAAAATGAGCCTGATTTCACCGAAGCTCCAAGTATCATAGTAAGCGAACCAAAACAAACAAGTTCACTAATCGATGTAACTCGTTTCTCTAGCTTGGAAACGCTCCTTCGCACAGTGGCCAGGGTAGGAAAAGGTCTTTAAAAATAAAAATCAAACCCATAGTGTTGTCAAAATTTGACTCTGCTCCACACATTTCGGCAGACGATATGAATTTAGCCGAGAAGTTACTTATTCGAAATATTCACGAGAATGTTAAACTTGACGAACTTCAAAAACGATTCCCAAGACAAAAGATAATACGGGATTCGGACGGTATTATTAGACATGCTTCAAGGCTACAAAACTCAGAGCTCTCCTGGGATGCAAAATCCCCCATATATTTGCCGAAGAATTATTTCACAAGTCTAATCCTGCAAGACGTCCATAAATCGAATGCTCATGCTGGGAAGAACCACACGCTGTCAATAATTAGACAAAGATACTGGGTGCCATGCCCTTCAAGCGCTTACAAAACCGCCATCAAAAGTTGCACCACTTGCAAGCGCTGGCAAGGTATGCCTTTTGGGGCACCAGAAATGCCGCCGTTACCATCGGATAGAGTTATAAGATCAAAACCTTTTGCAAACTCTGCCTGTGACTTCATGGGTCCTTTTTCATCCAAAACCGGAGAGACAATGTACATTTGCCTTTACACTTGTTTAGTCATCCGTGCAGTGCATTTAGAAGTAGTAGAAGACCTATCTACTGGCGCCTTTTTAACAGTTTCACTCGATTTATTTCGAGACGTGGTGTACCCGAGCTCATGAGAAGCGATTGTGGATCTAATTTTATGTTGGGCTCAAAAATGATCTCTGACATCTTCAAAAATGAAGGTGTTGATGATAATGCGTTGATGACGTTTTGTGCGTCCAATGGTATCAGATGGATTTTCAATCCCCCCGCGAGTCCATGGATGGGCGGGGTTTGGGAAAGACTGGTCGGATCGGTCAAGAAATGCTTACAAAAAAGTATTGGTAGAAAAAAGCTATCATTCTGTGAAATGAGCACGGTCATCACTAAAATAGAGGCGATCATAAACACTCGCCCTCTCACAAAGCTGGAAGAAACAGATATCTCTGAAATCCCACTAAGACCAATAGACTTTCTTCAAGGTAACATAGCGTTCTCGCTTCCAAATTCGGACATCTCAAACTGGGAAGACGAAACATACGACCCAGAGGTGATACAAACCGTTAAGCAAGCTAAAGAAGCGCTAAAGTCTGCTGAAAACATAGCAGACAAATTTTGGGAAAGATGGAGCAGTGAATACCTGCTCTCCCTTCGAGAGTCTCAGAAACTCCATCTCAAGCAAAAAAGACATGTCACAAGAACGACACCGGAAGTCGGTGAAATTGTGCTCATAGGAGAAGATTTTCTTCCTCGCGGAAGCTGGTCCTATGGAAAGATTGTTGAAGTGATAAGTACAGTACTCGCCGTTTGAAATCGAAAATTCACGCGAATAACGCGAATCCTCGTTAATTTCGTGAATTCGTTATAACTCGGTTCAAAATTGAGCTTTCGAGAATCCGAAGATATCTTTGAATTCAGCTCGTCGGACACTATAAGAATGTGCTTTGATACTTTGGAAAAGCTCCATATAGGATTGCGCCATGCACTCGATTTTCATCTCAAAAAGTAGTTGCTCGCATGTGATGTGTATATAATCCCGCTTATGCGGGCTGACCGCTACACACAGAGAAGGGCCTCAAAACTTACCCCAGAATGCGCCACGTACTCAATCTCATCCACTACATTGTGAGATTAGATGAATGTTATTTTCCGAATTCTTAGATCTTCATTTCGTTTTTAAGCGCTTACTGGCTCCGTGGTGTGACCCCAAACATCACCCCTTGTCATGCCTTTGCCCCCTATTACGTGACAAGTCCCATTTTTAGAGGAATGTTTTGTAGAAAGCTGTAAAGGAAGCGAAGAATTTCCTTCACTGTCGTAGACTATGGTCACTTGTCTGTAGGAATTATGTGGAAAACTCGGTCGCAAGTGCATATTCCAAGGAAGTCGAAGTGTTCAAAACAATGTACGACAGTTCTTATCTTCATTGATGGGAAAGTCGGACATCAAAGGCACACCGACATGGGAATATACTCTGCTTCTCGCGAGTCTCTCACAGGTATCGATTAGCTGGCTTTTTTTTGCGACGGCAAGAGCTTCCTCACGCGCATGCATGGAAAAGGTCACCAGTCGGCTGCTAACAGCTCATCGATTGATTTTAGCGACCATTCATTTGCAGTTGAGGACACGTCGAATTACGACATCAGTCAACGCAAACACCTACATCCTTTCGGAAGACTTGAAATCATTGCGACAGCGCAAAACGAGGTTCACAAAGTCATCTAAGCCCAACGAAGAAGTCGATGTGGACATTTTTGTGGGAATCGATTACTATTTGAACATCATTGATCCGTCGAAGATTCAAAGGCTTCCCTTAGAATTCATTCTGACTCACACACGTTTCGGACCAGTCATTTTAGGTACAACAGCATCTAGTAGTTCCTCTTCCAACATTCATGACACAAATACACTTGTAACTATAGACCCACACACAGTAGATACAGAAATACACAAGTTATGGGACTTAGAATCTCTAGGCATACAGGACGATCCCAGTGTGAGCCATGATGAGCAAGTGAACACGGAAATTGTGAAACGATCTTGTGATAAAGTATAAGTCACTGATATAGTCATCTATGTCCAATTTCCTTAAGAACAGAATCATCTGCATCTGCGAGACAACAAACTTATCGCCCTTATAAGTTTAGAGGACTTGCACCACGAAGCCCAATGAAGAAACACCTTCATTGGTAGCCTTAGTTATAGTCTACTTGTATTAGGTTGTCTCATAAATAGTGTCGCTTTTTTTCAACCAAAAAATTTTCATCTAAATCCCCATGCTTTTACATCGATCATATACCATTCGAAAGAGAATTGTCTGCTCTACAAAATGTGTTCTTTTCCACTATGTTCCAGGTTTTCAAATTTTAGGCCTGCGAAATGGGAGGTCCAGCCGACAAAAATTGACCAAACCGACAACTAGCTCTAACTTTATTTCCCTTGGAGAAATCAATCAATGATGTACCCTCTACTTACTCATGACCTCTTCTGAACATTCCACCCTTAGGTTGCCGAAAAAGGTTTGCCCTGTTTCTTTTCGAATTGGCCGACCGATAAGCCATGGCAATTTTCAAATTGAAATTCTTCCTCTGAAACGCTATTGTTTTATATCAACTGGTGTATCTTTTGTGAGCACTTCTTCTGCTCTATTCGCTCATTTGTTTTGTTTTATGTTTGTTGGAATTAGCTCGAATTTTAGGTGTTTAGGAGTAAGGTGCTTTGTCCACGAAAGTGACCGCATTTCTTTGAAAAAAATTATCCCTGAGAAGATGAGAAAATCAACCAGGCGTACATTCCTAACTTAGTCATGACTTGTTCTTGAAATTCTACTAGTTTTTCAATGTCTCGGCTGTAAAAAAATTTCGACCTCGATCTCAGGTAATGGTGCTCGACCGTCGAGTTCTGGTTGAAAAACCAGGTCTGGAAATGGAATGACGCGACTTGTTGGGAAACCTAATAGTGTAATGTTTAGAAGAGGTCATGCATAAGTAGAGGGTACATCATTGATTGATTTCTCCCAAGGGAAGATAAAGTTAGAGCTAGTTGTCGGTTTGGTCAATTTTTGTCGGCTGGACCTCCCATTTCGCAGGCCTAAAATTTGAAAACCCTGGAACATAGGTGGAAGAAGAACATAGCATCTTGTAGAGCAGACAATTCTCTTTCGAATGGTATATGACACGATGTAAAAGCATGGGGATTTAGATGAAAATTTTTTGGTTGAAAAAAAGCGACACTATTTATGAGACAACCTAATACATCTAGCTTCAATTACTAACAAGGACAGCGATTTAGACATATCCTCTTTTTCAATCCACTTAGATACTTACACCTTATACTCAAGCACATTTAGTCTTCCTAGTCCAATTCTTACATAAGCAATTACATATCACACTCAAAGCAATTAAATAGAGCCTTCTGTGACTCTTTCATAGCTCTTTTTTGGACCCATCCTAAGCTAAAGCTCTTCAAAACCTTCATTTCTGACGGGGTAAAATCCATTCAAGTAGGTCCTAACACATTCTTAACATCAGGCATCGAATGTAACTTCCACTATGTAGGTTCAGAATTCAACCCAGCCGATTAAGCCACTGGAGGACTTTCAGTAGTAGAGATTTCAGAATACATGTGGTGGCAAGGTCCATCCTTTATACACTTACCGACTTCACAATGGCCATATGTATGTATGCCAACATTGACTTTTCAAGGCAACTCTTCTATTCAAGACATAGATTTAGAAATTTAAACTTTAGCTACTCTTTCTCTTTTTTCTTCTCATAAATCTGTCCTACCCTTCGAGCGTATTAGTCATTATGACACTCTCATTAGGATCACTATATACATTCTTCTCTTCATTCGTAGGAAATTCTATAATAAGCCCTCTCAACATAAGCAAAAGTGCCTTGAAAGTAAGTACCACTATCGGAACAAATTCATCTCCAGAAGATCTCCTTATAGCGGAATAGAAACTTTGCCGCGAACATCAGAGAGAATCGGTCAGAATCTCAACAGATCGAGAGGCAAAGAACTGTGACTCCTTAGCAATAATTCGAACTTGATTGCAAGAAGAACGGAACTCTACCTCTCCAGAATAGAAACTTTGCCGCGAACATCAGAGAGAATCGGTCAGAATCTCAACAGATCGAGAGGCTTTCTATTTTGGAGAGGTAGAGTCCCGTTCTTCTTGCAATCAAGTCCGTGCTCGAATTATTGCTAAGGATGTTTCTGTTGGATCCTGGGCATCCTCTAACAGCCGAAATAGTTAATCGTTGGCATCTCAAGTTACATCGTGCAGGAGTTGGTCATCTGGCAACAGCAATGCGTAGTAAATTCATAATTCTTAATATGCGTAGGACAGTAAAATCTATTCTTTCTAAGTGTGTTATATGTAGAAGGCAGCAAGGTAAGGCTTATAGTTATCCTGCAGCACCAGATTTACCAATGGAAAGAATACGAATACGAATCCGTTCAAGACCCTTCCAGAGTACAGGTTTGGATTATTTTGGCCCTATTTCAGTCACTATGGACACGCACGAGACACGCAAGGTATGGGTTTGCTTACATACTTGTATTACAACTCATGCCTTACACCTTGAGCTGGTTCATGACAATTCGGCACGCGAACTCCTACTTGCTCTTCGACGCTTTATTGCAAGAAAAGGAGCTCTAGATCTCTCCTCAGCAATGATGCAACGACGGTCGCCAGGTTCTTGCCAATGACCTCGTTAAGATAATCAACAATCCCACTATTACCGCTTTTACCATCAAAAACAGTCTTTAATGGAACTTTATACCTCTTACCCCTGGAAGGGTGGGTTCTGTGAAAGATTAGGAGGTATGGTAAAATCAGCTGTATGGAAAATACATAGTTCGTAAGAATACCCACAACACCTTAGAAACACTAATTATCGAATATCGAATAGAAGCAACCCTTAATTACTCGCCCATTAACATCATTGAACTCATTTACACCCTTACAATTTAGCAAACTTTGTCTTTGACGTTATTAGTCCTTACTTCCAGCTGGAAAAGTTCGCCACGGCAAGGACCCAGCGTTAGTCACCCTTCTATTTCTATGAATTACGAGACGGGCGACGGACTATACAATCGTCGGCTAATGAGGTCACGCCGCTCACGCGGCGAGAATCGTCGCGTGCGGCAGTTGCTGCGGCGATTTCTGTGTGGACCTTTTCTTATCCATCCATATAAGTTGGCTAGGTGACTGATAACACCAGAGTGCTGGACATCAGTAAGCCAGCAAGCGTCACTGTAAGATCCCTGCAGTGATTTAAGCCTCGCAGTACAAACTGTACCGTGTAAAGGTTGTCCTTTTGGATTTCATTTGACTTCTTTATTAATCAGTTTCCTGAATTTCTATCAGAGAGTGATAATCTGGTTCAATCTGAAAGAATAATCTGCTGGATATCAGCACATGAGTAGCGGCGGCGAGGAAAGCTCTATATAAGTGGTATGGATAGGGGGAGTGAAGTGATGTTATATATATGTGTGGTGCTCTGAGCGAAAACGAAACTGCATTTTTACAAGCGGTATAAGGTTCGGTTCCTCTATTCAATGTTTCATGTAACGGCGAAAATCATCTATGCGTACATTCCCATATGTTGGATTGACGTGAGCTCTTTGTCAAATTCGCCCGCCGATAGGGCTTGGCTGCCCGGCGGGCGGGACGCGGCGACGCCCTACTTGCATGTCGCACGCCAGTTGTATCAGTCACGCACCAGTACGGAGGACTCACAGACTGAAGCGGGGAGCCGCTCGAAAGAACATCACGAATTGCTCTTAATTACCGCTTTTGAGGCAATTCGAACCGACACGTGCGGGACGGCTATCTCCCAGAGACACTAGTTCGAGCACCAGAACAACACCAGGGAGCGTCACAGATCTCAAACTGTAAACCAACAGTAGGAGATGTTGCTCTTGTTCGTATGGAAGACTTACCCAGAGCTCTCTGGCCTATGGCCATTGTTACTCTTCTTAACATGTCAAAGGACGGAGCGCTTAAGTCGGTTCAAATCTGTACGACAAAACACATGTTGATCGGTCCAACAAACATCTTACTCCACTGGAATTCAACACTCAAGAAGATTTCAATTCTACAGCAGAACTCACATCTCCAACAGCGTGTCAGCCCTCGAAAGACGCCGACGATGAGAACGCGTTAATCGGCAAGGTAACCACCTAAATAACGAGTAAAATCAGTATTGTGTAGCTTTATTGGTTTTTTTGTTCTTTTCATAATTTTCTTTTTTAGCTCTTCTATTACTTGTTAAGTCCAAATTGCATTCTTTCTAGCCCCTCTTAGTCCATTCATATTAGTCTATTTCTTAGTCTATCTCATCTCTCTCCGTCTTCCTTTTGTTTAGGGTCACAGCACTTTTCGACTTAGCCATAGCTTGTTAGTTTATTTTTAGTTTTTGTAATCTCGTCGTAGTGCAAAAGATTTGTTACATGCTATACGAAGTTATTACGCTCTCTTCATCCATTTTGGTTAAAGGACGAATTCACGATCAGAGGGAAAATCGAATTAGGAAGAATTCACCTGGTTGAGGGACCCGCGGAGCTCCTAAGTGTGCGAACTGAAGCACAATTTGCACAGGAGGAGTTGACCTCGTTGACCTATTAAGGTTTAATCCCGCCGCGGCTGGTCAGTGCACGCCCACCGATCATCTGATCACTCGCCGCAGGTCTATACGTGGTGAGTGATTAGATAGGTGAGAGAGCGTAGTGTTGAAGAGGGCACAGCGATGATAGTCGCATCAATGCTCAAATCAACGGGCAAGGAAGGGGTCCCATTTCTCGGGTTCTGGGCCGTTTCTCATGGTTCTTCCTTCTTTCGTGTACCACTCACCATCCCTAGGTTAATTTGAAATGGGTTGCTTTTTCATCGTGAATTCGTCCTTTAAGCATTTTCATCATTTTAGTCATTTCGTCATCATTCTATCTCCCATTTTAAAAGAAGGAAGAAGAAATCAACTATCTGTCAGTTCATTCGGTTTTACCCGTTCGACTGTTCATTTCTCTTTTAGGCTTAACTCCCTTCCTTTAGGTTGTTTGAGGTTGACGTTATCCTCTGTTCCCGTTTTCAGTCTCATTCCCTTTCAGCGTTATTCTTGCTCTGCCCTAGTACAGCCATAGCTGTTTGCTGTACGTCGCCTCGGGACCCACTCGCATGCAACCGCAGGCAACAGGCAACTGCGCCTGCAGAGCACACGGTAAGACTATCAACGATCAATACAGCCATTAGGCCCACTTAGGAAATCGCGCGCGGCTTCAGTTTTCTCCTTCCTTCCACGCTTAGTTGGTTTTCATCACATCACTCTTACGCCTCCTAACATTCTTCAGCTTAAGCTTACTTGTATCACTCGCACATTTTTTTTCGCAACATTTAGTAGTTTGACTAATTCCAGGTCACTCAACTTATTCTGCTATTCTTGCTACTAACTTACTAACGCTCTTTCGGTATGACCAGAAGGCTTCGCTCGTCAACGATTAGGACAACGGCTACACCAAAGTCTTCGTTCTATGACGGTCGCGAAATGGTCAGATAAGAAGGTAAGCACCAAATCGGTGCCAGATGATCCGTCATCATTGTGTTTCGTCGCCACCTTTGCCTCCAGCGCAATCAGAGGTTAATGACTTGTCGACTGACTTTAGCACCTTTGTGAGCATGGTGCCAATCAGACACAGCTCCTCAGCCGGAGTCGGCAGACAAGTTGGCCCCTGATGAGGGAGGTAAATGTGAAAATACAAACTCTCAGCCGCTTGTGATTGTGGAGCCGATGGATCAGTCCATCCCTCCAGGAGAGCAAGCGGTTTCAGGGAAAGTAGGTCGTCAGAGCCTACGAGCGCACCTATTATAAAGGAAAAGGTTTTTCGTTCTCCTTTCTCCTGGAATTTGAGCTGAAGGCTCTGATGCTCACGCATCAGAGCCTTCAGCTCAAATTCCCAAAGAACCTTTGCCTTCAACGCAGGACGTCTCGCAGGAAACACGTTTGTCACTTGAGCTTTCGTTCAATCCTCAAGTGGAAACTATAGGCAATTATGCTCAAGTTCAGAGCGTCAGAGCGACTTCAGTTTAGTCTTTTTTATCCCTGTTTTTCCTCTGTTATACTCTTCAAGATACGTTTTCACGTTGCACTTTCGGTTACCCTACTCTGTGCTCTGCGATAATAACTGATTTCACTGAACAAAAATAAACCCGAAGTGTGTATGTATATATAAAGTATATACAGTGCACAATAGATGCTCATGATATAAATGAAAGTTTTATATGGATAGCGCAACACAGCGACGGGTGGTCTAAATAGGCGCCGGCCACACACGCCCACCAGCCAAAAAACGCCGCGGTACGCAATGGGTTAGAAGAGCGGTAGTCAAAGCCGCGCGATCGAGTGGATCTACTCTGACAAGGGGAGGTCTTTCAGGTGTACCCGCGCTTTCTCAAAACGGTTTTTTGCATGATGTAGAGGGATGTGCATGGAGTACAGAACTGTAGTCCATTTCCGCTAAATGGCCCTCTGAATGCCAAAAAAGGAGTGAGCAAATGTGGTCCTTGGTTCGATTCCCGCGGTGACAAATTTTTTGCATTGTGATTTGACGCAACAAAATTGGCACCCAAATACGTCAACACCAGGAATTGATGTCATATTTATAATTAGGCTTGCAAAAAACCTTAAAAGTAAGCGTATACCGAAAACTGGTGAGAGAAAGTTGTGACGCAAAACGGCACCAACGTGCCGTCGAACAGCGTCATAGGGGCCCGAAATGATGTCGGAGCTGAAAATGAATGTCATATTCGTAATCAGGACACCTGATTACCCTTGTATTCGAAGTTTCCAAGAAAATCAAGACTTTGACCCAACTTCGAAAATTGCTCCATGAGTAATAAAGTAAACTAGCACGTCAGGCTCGCGAACATCTTGGAAATGACCTCCTCTAGATCCTCATCAAGGGAATGGGGAATGTTCCTACCGAACAGAATAGTAGACACCCAAGCTGATGACGGTCGGGAGAGGGGACACTCGCAATGCAGTAGTTTTCTGCCAGTTCTCCACACGGAGCTTGCCCCCAAGCGACTGGAAATACTTGAAGACTTACTCTTATGTCTGGTGGAAATTTTCGAAGTTAGGTCAAAGATGCGATTTTCCTCGAAA